GGAGCAGAGGGTTAAGGCAATAGAGCAATTTTAAGTTCCTGCGTGTTTTAAAATCCATGTGCATAAGAAAATTGCCTAGAAAATAGACACAACTCGACAGGCACGAACGGACCTCGGGGGAAATAATTTGGCTAGGTAAAAAAAGCCTAGATAAAAAAAGGAGATAAAAAGCCCTCCGCCGTTGATTTTCATAGCCCTTCGAGTCTGGCGTCTGCAGTTTCAGCCCAGACGTTCCTGACTGGTGTCATTCGGAGTCCTCAAATGCCAAAGGCTGAAGGCGCTTCAGCTTTTCACGCCAAAGAAATCCCTCCCGCTGCGCCGCGGGGGTTGCCTTTGGAGGATTTGCTTGTCAAGGACAACGAGCAATTCGGGAGCCCGCGTCAGGGTGCGACTGGTGAGCAACTTCTTCACAGTGTCTTGGAGGTGCTGCTGACCTTCCTGGCCGTACCGTCGTGTCACGCTGCAAGGTTTCTCCCTCGGCGGAGCCCCCGGGAGCACGCCGGTTATTCTGTCTTCTCCAAATGCCAGACCTCTGCTGCCAAAAAGAACTGGCATCTCCTTTGCCGTGATCCCCTTTTCCCCGGCTCGGGTTTCTCCGAGACAAGCACCTTCTGTTTCTTTACCCCGTGGCAATGTTTTTTCCTCTTGCAAATCCAGAGGATTTAGTCACGGGAGTTTGGCGCCAGGTCCGCGGCCTCTTGTCCTCAGCTTTAATCTCAACCCTCGCCCTCTCCCGTCCTCAGCGTCGCCTGCCCTTTTCATGGCTCAAAACCAGGGCTGCCCCTGTAGCGATGCCCCTTTTTTTCCAGGGGAGAATTCTCCTACGATTCCCTTTTTAGCATCATCGCAAGCCCCTTCTCCGTCAGCCTTTGCTGGGGTTGGGAGATCAAGGAGGCCCCCTCCGAATTTCACGTGTTGTTCCTGTGTCCTTAACGCTTTAATCTTCAGGCTTTGGAAAAGGAAGCTGCCAGCTCGTGTGGCTTGCGGACAGAGCTCCCGGCAAAGATACCGCGTCCTGGTCCTTCAGGTTCAAGAACTGGCATCTACTTCTCCGAGCCTCTGGGTGAGGGGGTTTTTTTTTGTTTCAGCGTGTTTTCTCGGCATTTCTGGGGCGGGAAATACCACTTGGCAGAAGCCAAGCCCAGAATGCTCCTTCCTAGGTAGGCGTCTGCCCCAGTCTGGGTTGTAATGCCCTGGAAATGTCTCATTTGTCTTTGTTAACCGTATCGAGAGTTCAGGCAAGTGACTCAGAGACATCTGAGACAGATCAGGTGAACAGCACCGTCAAAAAGTATTTTCTCGCTGTTGGCTGGTAAGAAAAGTGCCTGGTGACTAATTCGGGGAGAGATCAACAGTTTTAGATGTCTTTCACTAACTTCACGCTGCTTGAAGCCAGTTAACTGGTGAAAATGAGTCTTCTAGGGATATATCTATGGGGAGCGGTCTGCATTTTAATGCGTATTTGTCTGGTTTAAGGAAAACTTGTTGCAGGGCTTTGTAAAAAAAATTTTTTAAAAATCCCCTTCAGCAAAAGAAAATAAATTTCACTTTCAAATCCGTGTCTCGTCGCTATGGGGGAAGGGGGAGAGCTGTGTGTCTTTGAAGCAAGCTGAGAGATATGGGGAGAGGCTAAGCTAGATGCGTTTCATGAGCTGGCTATTTTTTTTTTTTTAAATAACCCAAAGTGATGAGAAGCCCTGGCCACAGGAGCAGACTCGCTCTCGCTTGGTCCTGGTGAGCAGCAGCGACAGAAAGGAAGGAGAAAAGCACAAGCTTATTTCACGTCTCTCTATTTTAGGGCGATGCAAACCAGAAATCGATGCCGTCCCCCTTTGGAGAGGGAAGACTCCTGCCCAGACAGGAGCTCCTCGGGACCACCACGCGTCCGAAATGCTCGGTGCTATCCACACCGCTATCTATAGACGCTGAAGCCCGCGGGTCCTCGCTCGCAGACCCAGCTACCGTGTCCTCTAAACAACCTGTGGGAGATGCTGGCACCTCCGGAGGGTGGCCCGATGTCACCAGGTCAGACCTCGGTTTCTATTCCTCCTCCGGAGGATCCCGTTCCTGCGATGACTATATAGGGATCCGCCAGCCCTCCCTCCACCTCGGCATTTAAACCGGTTAAAATTAGGCGGTGGGAAGGTCCCCTCCCCGCCGCCGGCACAGCTGCCGTGCCCGTGACGGCTCTTCCAGCTCCCTGCGGACGCACGAAGCCTCCAGCGAGTCTGGGTACCTCTTTCCCAGGGCACTGCCAAAATCTCCGGTACGGACAACCCCCAGCTACGCAACCATCGCAGCCCGCGTGCCCTGGGAGCGACACGGCCCCGGTCAGGCCAACTTCGGCACTACGGAAAAATCAACCGCAGGTCTTGGTAAGTCTCTCTTTTTTTTTTTTTTTTTTTTTTTTTTTTTTTTTTTTCCTTTTTTCCTTTCCACAAGCGCCGGAGCGGTGGGGAAAGCGTAATTTGTGGGTGTCCTATTCCCGGATACCGGTCTGGCTGCGCGGGCTCTTTCGTGAAAGGCTGAGAGAGGCATTTGGAAAGCAGAAGAAACCCGACACGTTCGTGATAGCTAGAAGCAGCCCTGGACAAAATGATCTTTTATTCCTGTACGTGAACCTGACGATACTGAAAAACAGGAAAAGGATTAAAAGAATGGATCGTTTAAAATTTTTTTCCCTTTTAGGAAAATATCGGACAGAAATAATTGCTGCCGCTTTCCTTGCTCTGTTTATCTGTTTCGGTACAAATTTAGGTCCTCATAACGGCATTTATCTAACTTAGCTCCCAATAGCACCTACACTTTAGGAAAGGTCTTAATATAGCACGCGAGAAGCATTCAATAATTTCCTTTCCAGCGTGATCCGATGCCTTTTCCCACCCTGGTTTTGGACTGGTCCTTTTCGCCTTTCCGCAGCTGCAGCTCGGCTCCTCCAGGAAGGCTTCGTGTGTTCAGGGCATTGGCAGGATTATGAACACAAAAATGAAATTATAATGACTTCCCTCTCCGGTCTGAGGGATTGAGGAAGAAAAATCCTGCGATGGAGGCTGCCCTCTCTGGTGTATTGATAAGGAGCAAGCAAAGGGCACAAAATCTGCGTCCCTTCGCCCAGCCTACGCCATCTCCCATGGCAACCTAATCCCCTTTTTTTTTTTTTTTTAATTAATAAATTCAAAACATTAGCGTGGACTAGAAATCGCCGCATATAGAGTGATGAGAAACAGAGCAGTAACACAGCGGAGGAGGGAAGCTCTTAGTATAATATTCGGTTTAATATTCAGTTTAAAACAAGTGCTGCTTTTTTGGCCAAAAGAGGTGGTAGCGCCACATCCTCCACGTATGGGGCCGCTTCTCACGGCGTCAGCAGCAGCGGTGAACGTTCTTATTAAATAATTTATGAGAGACAGAGGAGGAATTAAGCTCGTGCTACTTCAAACAACTAAAATTAGATGTCTAGGCTATTTGCCCTGGACCCCTTCTGCGATCCGGGGGGGTGACGGATGTCGACTGAGGTTCATCGCACCTACAGTAGCTCCCTCTTCCCTACCATTCCTCCAGATGTAGACCAGAAAACGTCTCTAATAACTGGGAAAAATGGGAAAAAGCCTCTGCAACTCCATGGATTTCTCCCTTATTGTGTTTACTCACATGGGCAAAAATATTCCAGGCATCGGCACGTTTTCCCAGAAAATGCGTTTTCCGCCACGCTGCGTCGCTGTAAAGGCCCCGTTTTCCCTGGACGTGACGTTTTAACGATGTTCCCTCTCGTCCCACCAGGTCGACAAAGCTCCTGGAAGTGGTTCCAGTCGGGAAGCAAACGTGATGATGGAGTCAGGTACCTGAAAATGTATTTGTTAACAAAGCGCGTGCCAGGTCCCGGCCCCTTTGGCCCCAAAACCCCAGCTTTGCCGTGCCGGGGGGCGTTCAGTCCGTGCTCTGCTTGCTTTCGGGCTGCTTTTTCAGTGTTTCCCTAAGCCAGCTTTCCTAGTTTGATGCTGCTCTCGGCTGTCAGTGAGTTGTGCTCATTCAAGAAAGTAATATTCATGTTTAACTCCAGAGGGATGCAGCTAGGCTAGAGAGCCACTCCGGTTGTACCCAGTGCGAAAAACATTTACCTATTTTATTCCCCCCCCCTTTCTTTCTTCTTTTTAAGGGAAAAGGAATGCGGATCTTGGTAAGTGATTTTTCCTTCTTCCATCAAAACAAGCCTCATTTAATATACATCTCCCGTGGCCTTTCTTGGCTGGGTGTGTGGCTTATTTATACTATCATATACTCTAGATCACATTAGATAAACTCATAACTGGTGTAATTTGGGGAGCGTTGCGGTCAGTAAGGAAAATAAAAAGTCAGCGCATAATCATTTTTTTTAAGACGACTCCTATAGTGCAAACCAAAAAAACCACAGAAGGACCCACTGGGGGCTAACTCCTCTCTGTCTCTCTTTTAGAAGAATGGGATGCGAAAATCAGTAAGTGTCTCTTTCCCCCCGCCCCGATTTGGTAAAACCGCGGTGCTAAAGGCTTGAACTAATATTCCTTTATTTTAAGGGAAGTTAACAGAGGAATTTGGTAAGTCGTTTTCCTTCCTTACGCATGCCGAAGTTCGAATGCGCGTGTTGCTGCGGCTGCGGCGTTAGCCGGGACCGACGTGTCTATACGATATTTCTCTTTATTTCATTTAGAAGAAAGCGACACAGAGCTTGGTGAGTGCGGGGCTGGGGTTGTTTGGGGGTTTTTCTTCGCTGCTACCGACGACGCAAAAAGTTCCTTTGTGTGGAGGATGGGCTTAGTAAACCAGAAACGATCCTCCAGATCTTAGATTTATACCCGGGTGTAGTCAAGACACACAACTTCGAGGCGAAGGGACCCAAACCACCAGCGCAGTATAACCCATCCCCGTTACGCTAGGCATCTCGCTTTGGAGGAGACACGCTGCCTCCCCGCAGGCCAGCGGCATTCCCTAACCTCTTCTTCGGGCTCTTGCTCGCTCGTCGAAGCATGCCAGAGGCGGAGAGCTCTTGGGACTAACCCGTATTTACTTCTCTCTTATTTTTAGAGGAGTGTGACACAGAAAATGGTAAGTGTCCTTCTTCGATTTAAAAGTTCTCCTAAATAATAGTGGCCCTCAAAGCCAAACACCCTCAATCGCACATCGTTGGAACGAAATATTTTTTACAATACATATTTTTACAATACATACCTTTTTTTTTTTTTTAAAATAAATACTTTTCTCTGTATTTGGGAATTCTTACTGCGATGCTCGGCGAGTCATATTCCGTCGGCAAAGGCGTGCTTTGGGCAGGGCTGCTGGTAGCAAGTTGCAGTTTGTGCATATTTTTTTTCATTTCAGCTTCGAATAGCGCAGAAGTGGAAAGGGCTTAAAAAATAGAACTGATTGGAAATGCCTGTAATAAATAGAATAAGTCCGGATAGAACAGAGATTATTTTGTGTCTCTAATATTAGGGACAAAATAAATACACGGAAGCGGTGAAAAATAACTTAAAGCCATTTCCCGTCTCTTTCTCTTTCTTTTTTTTTGGGGGGGGACAAAATGCAGAAATCGGTAAGTATCGCTTTCTTATCTTCGTCAAATTGACTCTGGTGAGGGAATTTCTTGTTTAATGAGCCCTGAGCGAATACCCAGGATGCCACGTACATCCATGAGGTGGATGGGACCCTGCACCCCCATCTGGGGTCTGCCCTTGACCCTGCGTGGTGATTTAAATGCCAGATCTGTAAACGGCAGGCTCAAGGTCAGCCAGAGAACAGCTCCAAGCAGTCCTTTAACATGCATCCTGATTTATTTCTCTGTTTTAAGGTGAACTCACAGCAGAGATCGGTAAGTCATGTCTTTACGTCCCATCCGATATATCTCTGCATAGCTTTGAGCCATGTTTTAGCTGACTTGCCCGGGGTTTATTCCCTTTCGCTTGCCTGTTTTTAAAAAAGCAGGAGGTATATTCATTTTTAACAAGAACTAATATAAAAAAAAAAAAAAAACCCACAACAGTGCAGAAAACGGGGGGCTTGAAGGTTGCTCTAGCTAGGAAGGCGAGAATAAAGAGAATAAAGGGAATTTCTGAGCCAAAGCCATGTACGAGCATAGTTGGTGTGAAGCCCTGCGACGTAGGACGGAGCCTTGGGGGATTTGGGCCTGCCGAGATCCAGCACGTGCACGGTGCAAGGCTTGATCCCTCTCAACAGATACTTAAATTTTGCAAAAATTCCTTTTCCGGTTCCGATCGTCCCGTCTTTCGTGGTAGGTGTTGCAAACAGGGGAGATGTGTCGAGGGTTAGATGCGGAATAGCTTTATTTTCCAAGGAAAGGAAGGACCAGATAGGGTACGGCGCATCCCTGGAGGTCCGTGGGAAAACTGGTATTTATTTTCCTCCTTATTTTTTTTTTTCAGACAATCTGACTGCGGAGCTTGGTAAGTGGTTTCCTTCCTTTTTGTCTTTATTTCCCTGCAGGTTTTTCGGGGGAAGGAGGTGGTTATTCCCCCCACGCATACGTAACCCCACGTATGTCCAAGCTGGGCTAGAAATCAAGTCAATTAATTAAAAAAAAAAAAAAAAAAAAAGTAATTTCAAATTATAATCACCAGTAAAATCAAAATTTGGAGGGGGAGGATGATGTGAGGTTCGCAAGCGTGACGGAGAGCTGGCGAGCACGTACTGACCGTCGCTATTTCCTCTTTATTTTCTCTTTTAGAGGAGCGTGATAGAAAAATCAGTAAGTGTCACTTTTCTTTTCTGGTAGAAGTAAAAGCCTCGGGCGATGCCGCGTCGCCCCGAGGGCGCCTGCGTGTCGTGGCTCCGGTTATTAAATTATTTTTTTGAATATGTGGGAGGCTTTGGGTTTGCACCAAGCTGCGGAATTTGGGCTTTTTTGGCTGCGTGTCGCCTCTCTAATCGATCTCAAGTATAAAGGCAGCCCCGTTTCCCTTATCTCCCTCGTTGCCGAAGATGCAGGGACCGATTCTTTACCCGTAATTTAAAGCAGTTGTCAGCAATCCCTTCCCTGTTCTTAATTACCAGCTCGTTGGTCTCGTTAGCATCGACGCGGCGCAGTTCTAGTATAACTTGACCCTGGGGAAAGCCAAAGGCAGCGCACGCCAGGTTGTGTTCGCGGAGAAATAAAGGTCGATTTAAAGCTAATATTCATTTATTTCTTTTGGTTTAAGGCAAGCTTACCTCGGACCTGGGTAAGAAGTTTCATTTCCTTAAAAATGAAAATGATCCTTAATTATGCGAGAGTGCTGGGCATAAAAAATGCTTAAAAATAGAAGATTTTGTGTTTTTCATCCGCTTTAGGAGCAGGTGGCTCATAGGGGGATTTCTTCCTCAACAAACTTTTTTTTTTTTTAAGTATTATAGCGGAAGGTGTCTGTGGCATAAAACTTCCGCCGGGTTTGAGTTTTATGGTGTGAAGACGGCGCCGCGGGAGGCGGTGGGTGCAGGAGGAGTTGCTTCGCCTTTCCCTGTATTTATTGATGGTTTCTTGGGGTTTTTCTAGGCGACTGCGATGCAAAAATCAGTAAGTGCGATTCCTCTTTGGATGGGCGCCATGGAGCATGCGTGCCTGCTATTTTATCTCTGAAAACGGGAGCGGAGAGGGGGTTTCCTGCCGAAAACCTTTGGATTTCTTTTTGTAGATTGAGTAACGTTCATAACAGCATAATTTGACAGTATAATTATCAGTATAAAGGCAATATTGGGGGGAAAAAAGCAATATTCCTCGTCTCGGAGCTCTAGGGATGCCATAGACCCAATGCACAGAAAAGAAGGAAATATTTAATAATAATTTTCCTGCCTTTTTTCCCCCCCCTCCTTTTCTCTCCAGAGGAACGTGATAGAAAAATTAGTAAGTGTCATTCTTCATTGTGCTTTTGGGGTAAAACCCCCTTGTTTTGGGGGAGGGAGAGCCTCTCTGATGCCCTGACCTTGAAAAGTGGCAAATAAGAACGTTCCCCCCCCACCACCACCAAGTTTCAGCCTGGGCTTCTGCATTTCCCACAGAGGAAAAACACCCAAATAAACACAAATATTGTCTTTCCTCTTTGCAGCGAAGCTCGCAGCAGAAATACGTAAGCCCTTTTCTTTCTTTTTGAAACAAAAATGATGGTTTTAAGCTTAGAAACCTCTCTTCTAGGGTCAATTTTTGTCGCTTTACTTGAACTAATACCCTTTTTTTCTTACTTCAAAGGTAGACTCACTGCGCTGCTTGGTAAGTCTAATTTTTGTACGGAACCTCCTGGGAGGATTGTTTTAATTAAATCTGTGCGTGATTTTATGCAATTAGTTGGAGGAACCTCTGGAGGTCCTTGGTCCAACCTCCTGGTCCTCACCAGGACTCGTGCCAAGGTGAGACCACGGTGCTCGGGGACAACCTCAGCTGGACATCTCCAGTTTCTCCCCAGACCGAGTCGGGTCTTTCTGTTGTTCTTTACAAAATGGGAACTCAACGTGCAGATTTTTGGGCGTTCTTTAATAAAATATAATTAGAAAAATGAGCAAAAGCAGCTTTGCAGCAGAAAGTCTTTGAGCTTTGGCTTCAGGACCTGTTGTCCTGGGGGAGGAGGGCAGTGCCGTGTAAAACAACCCAAAACATGCTGGATTTTATTCTTTTTCATTCAGGGGACCGAGACTTGAGGCTTCGTAAGTGATGTTCTCTTCCTGACGCGTAAAGTCTCGGTCTAAAGGTGGATCTTCCTCAATGGGCTGGTGTGTTTCCAAAAGCGTCTCTCCCCCCGGGCACCGGTTTTCTCCGTTTTCCTGCGTTTCTGAGTTCAGCCCCTTACATCGCTCCTAAATGGATGTATTGCCAGAACCGGTGGTTTTCCTCCCCCTTCTCTTCCCCCTTCTCTTCCCCCTTCTCTTCCCCCTTCTCTTCCCCCTTGTCTTCCCCCTTCTCTTCCCCCTTCTCTATTTTATTTTATATTGTCAGGCTATACATTTTTATTACCTATTTTATACTACTCCACTAGACGTGATACTATTTTCTAAAACGCTATGTAAGCTTAAGCCAGAGAATTATTTACACTGTGTCCAGAGAGGAGAGAGAAACATCTATTTAAAATAAACTTATATTGCTCTCTCTTTAGGGAAAGTGACTGCAGAACTTGGTAGGTAATCCTCTTTCTTGTGTTATGGGGGAAGCAGGGGGAAAGGGCAGCCAGCGGCACCGAAAACTGATCGGTATCTATTTTTCTTTATGTTTTGTTTTGTTTTTTTTTAGCAAAGTGTGATGCAACGATCAGTGAGTGACGCTTCCTCCTCGTGCAGCTCGGGGTGGTTTGGTTGGTGTTTCAGCGTTGACGGGACGCTGGAATTTCTCAACTAAACTAAATTTGGGCGGTGAGAAGAAACGACCCTTTGGATTTCAAGGGCTGGGGGAGCCTGAAGCCAAAGTTCAAGGGGGAAAAAGGAAAATAGGATGGGGGGGAAACTCCTGTGGGAAGTTTTCCAGCTGAGGCGGGCTGGAGAGGCGAAGGGTCGACTCCTGTTGCGGCGTTTGGGAAATCTAATGGGAACTAATGTTGTTTTCTGTTTTAAGGAATATTTACGGTGGAGCTTGGTAAGTCCATTTCCTTCCTTTTGCGGTTTTTATTAAGGTTTTAAAAATTATTAAATTGGGAAAAAAAAAATTTACAAAAAAATTATTACGTTGCAAACAAATTATTAAATTCCCTTTAGAAAAATGCAGTTCTAAAAACAAAACCCAAACTTATTTCTGCCCGTTTCATCTACCTGGTGAAAAACAGCATCTTCAAGGCAGTGGTAGAGAGATTTAAAACCCAAAAATAATTAGAAACAGGGATAACATGGGCTAGAACAGAAATCCAAATTATGCAAACAGAGGTAGGCAGAAGCCATGAGAAATAACACACGATTGTTTTTTTTTCCACTTGTTTTTAGGAGAGCGGCACACGAAAATAGGTAGGTTTTATGTTCCGCTGCCCAGCAAATCTCTGGATGAATTTCCCAGGAGGAAACCAGACTCAGAAATCGCCGTCCGTTGCCCGTGCACCTACAGGAAAATCAAAAAGCCTGGCCTTAAAATTAACTCTTTTTTTTTTTTTCCCCCCTCCCCGTCTCTTCAGGTGAACTTACTGCGGACGTCGGTGAGTCGTTTTCCCATTAATCGTGATTTAGATGGAAATGATCTATGCAGGTGGGCACCGAGCGGTGTAATAATCACTGATTTCTGTTTATTTCTAGGGGACTGCAATAGAAAACTTCGTAAGTGCCTTTTTTTTGTAATTGTGAGAATTAACCCTGAGAATTTTGTCATCTATTATGTCATCAAGAAAAGAGGAACGTCATGAAACTCCTGTTTTGTTTTGTTTTTTTTCTCTATTTTAAGGGAAACACGCGGCAGAACTTGGTAAGGGATTTCCCTGCTTTGCTCAAAATGGATTTTTTTTTTTCTTTTTTTCAGTTATCTCTGCATGTCTGAGGTTTTTAAGGGGGTAATTTCTATTTTAATCAAGTTTAGCAGTATGTATGCAAAAGCTAAGATAAATATATATTATTATATGGTAGCTTATATGGTAGATTATATATATAACATAATAAATATTCCACAAAATACAATTTCCAAGCAACATTATAGATGGAAAAACAGCTCCAGAATACCCCCTTGGCAGAGCTTGACTTCAAGGCTTGTAGAACGCAGCTAAGCGCTAATTTATTTTTTATTTCTTTATCATTTGCAGAGGAACGGGACGTGAAAATCAGTAAGTATCACCCTGCTTTGCGAGTCACGTGGCCGGGCTCGATGTTATCCCGGCAGCTCGTTTGCTATTTTTATGGATGAGCTCATAGGCGACGCGAGCCTGTAACTGCCCGGGAGGAAGGGAATAAATATAAAATAGCGGCTGCAGAAAGCAACAACCAAATCTGCAGAGCAGAAAAACCCGAGTGACAATCGATCTTGGCTTTTTTTGCCCGATACGGCATTTTCTTTCCTCCCGCAAAAACCCACTTGGACGCTTACTGCGTCGTGTTTGGATTTGTGGGGTTGCTTGAGCCTGCTTTTCACCTGCAAATGTTAATTTAGCCAAGGCTATTTTTAAGCAGAAGGCAGTGAGGGTGGTGAAAAGAATAAAATCATGTAAAGACCCAAAAAGCTGCGCTGATAACATAGGGACACGACGTGAAGACAAAAGCGGTGGTTCCTTGTTATTTATTCCCATTGTTTTTTCTTTTAGGGGAAAATGAGGCCGAGATAAGTAAGTCTCCTTTTCCGTACTCTGTGGTTTGAGGGGTCTCTTGCTTAACCCAAATGCTGAATGAGCAGCCGGTTTAAAAATCCGATATACAGGATAGAAAAAGGGGTGGTTTTCCTGCAGAAATTCCCTTCGAAAGCCGTACGCGGGAATGAGAAAAACAAGGATTTGCGGCTTGGGTGGTCCAGGCCGCTTTCAGTTCCTTGCTAAAGAGTAAAAGCGACTGGAAAGGGGGGGGAAAAAAATAAATAAAAATTAGGTTTTCCCATGGGTTTCCCCCGTCCTCTCGTGCGACGGGGTTGGGGCTACACACGGGACCCCGAATTCTGCTGCTGCCCAGCTGGCTTCGGGCTCAGCCAGGGAACAACCCCAGCGTGTGCAAGACCCTTTTTTTCTATATGGTGTATAAATTATATTTATATTTTATAATATATAGTTATACATTATTAATTACATAGTATAAATATATATCATTGATATAACCATATGATTATAACAATAATTCTATATTTTAAGTATATAAATTGCATGATATATACAATTCTGGTGTGAAAAAGCTCCGCTTTGAATTAATCTCTCTCCCTTTGCTTTAAGGGCGCCTTACGGAGCTGCTCGGTAAGTGCGCTTCCTCACCCTCCCCGTCGATAAATTCAGCGCGCCGGCAGCGCAGGTCCTGCCCCGGGTGATTTGGTTGCACCGACGGCTTTTTCGTCCCTTTTAGCAGAAATACAGCTGCTGTCGGCATAGCAGTAATTTATCCAAATCTAATTTGGAAAAAAATAACAGCCAGGAGATGCAAGGGCGTGGAAGTCAAGGCTTTGAGAGAGGCGCTTTAGCGAAATCCCCCGGGAAAAAAATGGTAATAATTGGTAATAATTTTTATTCTTTTCTGTTTGCAGAGGACCGAGATTCGGAAGTTCGTAAGTCTGTCTGTGCGTCTCGGTGAAGTGAATCCTCCGCGGGAAGCGGGATCCCCTAAAATGAGTTGTGCTGGTGCTCACTTTCGCCAAAGATTTTTGCTGTTTGATTTAATAATTAATTCAAAATATATATATATATATTTGGAGGAAATACTCCATGAAATACATCAGGTATTAGAGGAAAATGCCCTGGAGCTCCGATTTTCTGTCCTAAATTACTATAAGAGTTTCTGTTCATTTTTGTTCGTGAGATTTTACTCTGGGAGATTTTTTTTCTCACCCTTCCTTGCAGCCACGTCCATGAAATGTTGGGGTCTTCTTCCACAAGTGCCCTTAATGCAAAGAAAAAAAAAAAAGGGGGAGGAATATCCGTAGCTGGGTGTGCGTAACCAGTGCTTTTTTGCTAAGCTGGATGACTTCTGCAGAGCTCGTATGTAGTAAAAAACTAAAACTGGAGAAAAACAGGGTTTATTAATTTCTTCTTTTTTCTTTTATTTTTAGGAGAACAGGACGCTGTCATTAGTAAGTGTCATTCTTCTTTTCTGAGAAGCGCAATCCCTGGGGATGCTTGGGGGGGTCACAAGCAGGATGATGTTGCTGCTGCTGTTTTGGCTTAGTATTTTGGTCGAAATACCATAAATTAATTGAATTAAATAAAAAAGAAATACATTTCGGGGGAAAAAAAAAAATAATTAAGAGGCATGAGAGTATCTGCCCACGTTAGAGGGTTTGGTTACCTTGAGTTCCCTCCGTCAAGACCCTCTGACGTCCTCGGGAAGGGAATGCGCTGATTAGAACAAATTTTCTTTTCTCCTTTTTAAGGAAAACTGACGGAGGAGCTTGGTAAGCCGCTTCTGTTCCTTTCACAAAACCGATTTGGGCTTTTGTGGTGGGTTTTTTTGTTTTTTTCTCAGAATTCGGGTTGGCTGGTCGTGTGTAGTTTTTGAGACAACTGTAGAAGCAGACGGATAAAGGGCTAGTGCGGGTGACTTTTAAAAATAAAATAATAACGGATAACAGTGACGCACAGACAAAAAATAGCAATGGAACAGAAACAAGCTTGTACCCTGACAGAAAAATCTGGGGTACAAAAGGAAAATCTGTGTTTCGCCTTCTCTTTTTCTCTTTTCTTTTCGTTAGAGGAACTAAAGGATCGGGAAGCTGGTAAGTGATATTTTCCTTCCCTTCTGAAAAATTTAGAAAGTTCAAGGGAGTTTGTAATTACGTATTTCATAATATATTAATATTTATAATAATTATTTATTTCATTATGTTTGTGTGTGTGTATATTCAAAAAAAGTGTGTGTGTGTGTATACACACACACCGAGATCTACGTGTTTAGTTTCCAGACTATAATTTAATTTAATTCAATTACGGGACTGAAACAAAAACTATAGGGGTCGCGATTTCTTTTAAATGCCTTCTAAGCGGTAGGACGCAAAGCGCTCGGGTGTCGGTGCGTGTCTGGGGCCGGTGATGCCAAATTCGTTCTTCTCATTCCTTTCGCAGCCGTATTTTCTGAGGAGCCTGGTAAATCTTTGTTTTCCTTGTCATTTGACAGAGAAGGGAGGGATCGTGTTGTGTGATACAAATCCTGTTACGCGCATGTGAGGCTGACGTGGCTGGATTTTTTTTGTTGTTGTTGTTTCTTTTTAAAAAGAAAAAATAAATGGTGGTGTTTAAGATAAGTTGCAAACTCACTTCAAATCATAGTGACGAATGCAAATAATATCTGGAAGAGGGATGCTCCTAAAATGATAGAGATTAATAAGAATTCTGATTTTTTTTTCCTCTCTTCCCCCCCTTTTTTTTCGTTCCCAGAGGAGAGTGATCTAGAAAGGGGTAAGCATCATTTCCCTTCCTGCCGAGGCAGAAAAACCTCTTGATTTGAAGGAATCCTCCTTAAGGACGTGATGAGAACTTTCTGTTTTTCCTCTTTTAAGATCAACTCACTGAAGAACTTGGTAAGTCGTTTCCTTCCTTTGCCAACATGGAATCATAGAATCATTAAGGTTGGAAGAGACCTCCAAGATCATCGAGTCCAACCGTCAACCCAACACATGCCCAACGTTTATTTTCCCCTTTTCTGTTGGTTTTGAGTTTGGTCGGAAGCTCGGTGGTCTGTTATCGCAACAAATGAATGAAGCAAGCGTCAGCAAGGTTTAGTGCTGAAAAATTTAAAAAGAAACTGAATTTTACATCATCATCAGAAGCAGTTTTTTACCTGTCTCCGCAATTTAATGTGACAACTGCAAAAGCGGAGGAAATTTGGGTCTTTGAATAGCGAAGAAGATAGATAATAGTAGAGAAGGAGAAAATATCTGGGGAATAAACAGATTCTAATGGGAATCCGTGTTTTTCTCTCTCCTAAGATGAAGTCACCGAAGAACTTGGTATGTGATTTTATTTTTTTTTTCTTTTTGACCTTTAACAAAAGCTTTTCTAAAGCTTTTCGAGTTTTCTTCGTTGCCCAGATATTAACTTTAACGTAACAAGAAATGGAGGCTTAGCTAGAGGGAAATGCGAGCCAGCAGAAAATGAAATTGCAAATAATAAACGACTAATAAGAAGGAGGCGTTTGGGGAAGAGTCCTGGCTCTGACATAACATCAACAGACACTTTTAAATTATTTTAATCTTCTCTTTCTTCCTTGTTTTTAGGGGAACGTGATAAAAAAATAGGTGGGTTTTGTTCTCCTTTCCCGGGTCCTTTTGGGCGTGTTTGGCTGCTCTGGACGGGTGCGGAGTGGAGGGATGCTGGCTCTGTTATCCCAACCCTTAGAACAGCCGAGGGAGCTGCTTTTCCACCCCGAAATACCAAATTCCCGTATGGTTGTTTGAATATTGGGAGAGTTCATGAGATTTCTGTTGAGCCCTCGTATTCTTGCAGCCCTCCCGAGGTACCAACTGAGCAAAGAAATCCTAATTATTTCATTTATTTCTTTCCTTTAAGAGGAAATCACTGAAGAGCTTGGTAAGTCGTTTCTTTTTCCTTCCTCCCTTAGTTTTTCCTCCCTTAGTTTTTCCTCCCTTAGTTTTTCCTCCCTTAGTTTTTCCTCCCTTAGTTTTTCCTCCCTTAGTTTTTCCTCCCTGTTACTCTTTTACATTGTTTTGAGTTTTGTGTTTTCTTTTTTATCTCAGTTTAGGAAAAAAAAAATACCATGGGTAAAGTAAAAATAAGAATGCTAACAGTAACCAACCGGACAGCATTGCGGGGGAATTGTCAAGTTGCAATTTGTCGGTGGTGCAAAAACCACAACAAATTACGGGGGACACTTTTAAGATCGTATTTTTTCCTTTTTCAGTGGAACGGGCTGCACGGATCGGTAAGCGTTGCTCTCGCTGCGAGCCTTCTGCCTTTTAATAGGCTGGGAAGGCATGGGGGGGTGCAGGTATTGCCCTGAAACAGAGCTCTTTTCCTCTAATACGAGATAAAAGGGCTGTTCAAAAACTTCACATCCTTGGCTGCTACTTGTTTGCTTCTCTCCGTTCTCCTTGGGCAGCCCAAATGCCCTTCTGTGTTACATTTTGGATAATAAGGAGTTATTTTGGGTTGGTTTTCTGTATTACATTTTGGATAATAAGGAGTTATTTTGGGTCGGTTTTCTGGTGCCGAGGGCTCTCTTCAGTTCAGTGATGCTTAACTCTACTGAGAGCAATTAAGATTAAAAATCCGTAAACGTGTTCTTGAAGAGAAACGTAGAATCCCCCAGCGAGCCATTTATCCGTAGGGGAAAAAATATTCATAATTAAAGCCAGTTTTCCTTTCGCTCTTTCTAGGTGAACTCACGACAGAGCTGGGTAAGTCCTTTTAAAAAAAAAAAAAAAATCAAATTTGTGCCGATATCTTGTTTGTATTTAGTTTGGGGTTTGGTAGGAGCAAGTCTTTGCTTTAAGATGAGGAAAGTCAATTAGGGGATGGGTTAATCTATATAAAGTTAGAGGCAAAATGCAAATTACAATTATAACTCTCTATACGGAATGGAAAAACAAGATTTATCTCTAGCTGGTGAACGCGCACAGCGACGGGGGGAGTAGTAAGGAATAACTCTTTACCCCCACCCCTTTCCTTTCTATTTTTCCTTATTTAGGAGAACGCGATACCAAAATCGGTAGGTGTCCATCTGCTTCCCGAATCCCATGGAACTCGGTGTGTGGAATCATGACTTTTATTTTAATTATAATAAGGATAATAATGAAAATCAGCAGTGGTTTTTTTTTTTTCTCTCTTAAGATGAACTGTCTGCGGAAATCGGTGAGTGTTTTTTCTCTGCCTTCCAACAAAACAAATACACGCAGTTCATGGTCTGTATTTTGGTATTATTTTTTATATGAAGGAAAAAAAATAGATTATAACAACCTTGTTTTTTTTCTTGCTTGCTTTCCTTTATTTAGAAAAACGAGATAGAAGAATTGGTGAGTATCAGACTTCTTCCCGAGACACGAACTTTGGGTGTGTTTGAGGCCCACGTGATCGCCGTGGTGTGAATCGTTAACGGAAATCCGTTCTTTTTTTCCCTCTCTTTTCAGACGAACTCACTGCAGAGCTTGGTGAGTCGCTTTGATTGCAGGAAAGGAAGATACACAAGCCTATGTTTGTCTCCTATGGTGTTTTTTTTTTTTATTATTTCTTACGCTTTTTTCTGAGCGACTTTGGGGAATTTGACGGCAGCCTGGGCTAATGGGGATAAAGTAGAAAGATGCATGCGCTGTGATTAAATAATGTATATAATAATTATATCTGTTATCTCTAATAATTCTATGATGTAATTATATATTGATATATTGTGTAGTTACGTTATTAATATCATTATAATAATCAATGCAAACGATAATAACCACTAGGCACAGAAATGTATTTTCGCTTTGGGAGCCAGGAGAGTCTTAGAAAGTCATAACACAAAAAGGCAGAGAAACGTGCCGTAACCACTTCTGTCCTTTCTCTTTTCAGAGGAATACAAAGCAAAGATGCGTGAGTGTCCTTTTTCCTCGCCTTCCGGAGCAGGAAAGCCTGTGTGAGGTTTGGGGGGCGTTTTGGAATAGGTGAGCGGTGAGATTTTTGCCTTTGTCACCTCCGTGGACTTCGGCATGGCAGAGATCACCCACAAAAGGTGAAAATATTGTGGGTGCACAATATTTTCCAGAGCACCCACGCGCCTTCCTCCCTCTGCAAACTATACAGGCGATGCCCCCTAAGCCTAGCGGAAATTCCTGGTATGGCCTATTACAGCTTTTTTTCTGTGCGGTGGCTTCTGCCTGTTAGTTTAAAGCGTCCGTGGTTTTTTTTTCTGAGGTTTAATCTAAATGACAAGTCGTGTTACAGACACAAGTCTCAGTGAGATCTGATTTCACAACAGTTTTGGGGGAGGAAGAAAAAAAAGCACTGTTTTGGGGGAAGGAAGGAGATAAAAATTTAGGATGAGCTGGAGGCATCGTTGAATAAAAAAAAAACCCCTCACTAAAACTACTTTTAATTGTATTTCTTTTAAGGAAAGTGCATTGAAGAGCACAGTAAGTGCGTTTTTCTCCCTTCTACAACTACCCCTTTGGCTTTTGGATTTCAGTTTACATCGCCGTTAATAATTTATTTTTTATTGTGCATTTTTAGGG